TATTTATTGACGGGACCACATCACGTTCACCTTTTTACTATATCATCATGGGTTGTTTCAGTTTATACTTAATTTTTTTTTCATTTTATAATGCATTTCCTTTATATTTTAAATCGAGATTATAAATAATTTCATATTAATATGTTTTATTTTGTTTGACATTTACTCCTATAGGGAATTTTTTATAATTTCATTTTATTTTTTTAGTCACTATTAAAGGGTTCTTATTTTATGCTCTATGATTTAATTCTTAAATAGATTTATTTTAATGTATTTGGATTCTGTTTTTATCATTATTAATGGGTTTGATTTAATATATTTTAGTTTTCTATTCTCTTGTTTCTTTTTTCTGTGATCTTTTGTATTAGTAGTGTTTTTTAAAGTCGTTTGTTTTCTTCGTATTGTTCTCTTGTGCCGTAGTGTAAGTGTTATCCAGGGGTGAGGCTGAGTTATTCAGGCTTCTTGACCGAATCATGAATTGCAGTTTAAATGTTTTTAAGATTGAAAGTTACAGAAGGCTGGGTCGACCTGGAAATAAAAGAGGGAGGAAAAGTGTGATATGTAGGTGTATCGAGCATTTTATACCCTTTAATTAATGTGTAGAAGTTTTCAAAATTCCTGTGCTTATGGAGTGTGCTTAGAATAGAAAGTTGGTCAAGGCAACAATTAAGTTCTTCTCACCCTAGATACACATGGAACTTGCACGCTTATCTAAGGTGTCACATGAACTCTCTCGTGGTAAAGATTGCTGCAACTATGTTGTAACAAAATAGACAGTAGCTTTTGTTGCAGGACAGTCGTGCAACACCTCAATGACATAACAGCTCTTGCAATGAAACGAAACCAATCTTCGGTCACGTATAAAGCCACATTTTTTTAGTATTAGAGAACGAAGAATATATTGGATATTCAGGATTAGCTTTATATTAAATGAGATTAGAATTAAGTAGAATAGTTTTTCTACAGTTCAGGAGATTTTCAACATCTTGACGAAGATTTAAAATTAAGATTTTAAACTTCATCAACTTGGAATACACTTTAACTTTGAAAAACTTTAGCTATAATTCATAAGGTAATGGAGCTTTAACTCTTAACTTTTAACAACCTAGAATTCACCTCTCTCTCCAGAACATATACACTCTTATTGGATTGTGTAATAAACAATGTGATTGAGTTCAAATTTGTGTCCATCATCTTTTTTTTATGCTAGATTCAGTTAAAGTCAGCGAAATTCTGGCAGTGATACAGTTTCAGTCGAAGTTCCTGTTATTTAGCGGTTCCTATCCGTTATAAACTGATATAAATAAATGAATCTGAAAATGCCATAGCAATAATTGGATGCTAACCACTGAAGCACTAAGTAAAGAAAAAAGTTTTGGGCACTTAAAGGATTATGAGTGAAAACCTTTTCAAAAATATGCAATAACTATGTATTCATCCAATTATAAATCAAGAGCGATCTGATGTAAACAGTATCGCTACAACTGATGGTATATGAATAGCATCCTTTGCTCGTACCTACAATTTTACAGAAAGAGGAAATTCGTTTCCTAATTAAAATAAAACAGTGGGAACTATGTTTAATCCAATGTAATATTATGTAAGTATGATACGAATCTGTGCAAAAGGGTGTCACATAATGTGACTTGAATATTGGGAATGTTTGTGAAATGTTTGTTCAAGCATCTCTAGAAATGATGGACTCAGATTTGAAAGGGTTTTAAATGACACTCTACTAAAAGCACTAATTTGCTATTTAGTTCGAGAAATTCTGAATTCTTTCAGAAGCAATGAGAGGAGATGCTTGTGTTAGAGAAGGATTTGATTAAAGCAGATATACAACAGTTAATAGATCCATGTAGAGCACATTTTTGTATATTAGAAGGTACAGCTAACGTATTGCCAATTTTAACTTGAAATTCATCTGACGATTGCATGATCAATATTTAGATCGTACAACTTATAAAGCAAACAATTTTGTAAACAGATAAACGTAGCCGATTACATTTTTTACCATTAAATATGACAACAGTAAAGTGATTACAGTTAAAACCGTTAAAAACCATGATCTGTAAGTTGCATGTTTCCCTGGGCGGGTTTTTAATATTAGAAATAATATTATTTTCCCCCAAGAATAATCAACGGTTAGGGATGACCCTCTCCAATTATTTTTCTGCACTGTTTAAAAGGCTATCGGGGCAATAGTTGTCGGCATTACTAAACTGCTTGTTATTTTAAAGAATAACTCTATTTTTGGCTGTTTTTCAGAGAGAAAGATAATAACCTGTACAGTGGCGCAGGAACCAGGGGAAGGGATGATTTTTCTGGATTTCTGACCAAAACAATAACGAAAATTTCCAATTTAGAGATTCTAAATATTCATTACTTTGAAAGTTTTAGTCTGGTGGCTAGACTCGCAATCTACGGGTGATGGGCTTAAATCCTATCACGAAACATGCTCGCTCTTTCAGCCATGGGGTGTTATAATGTTACGGTCAATCCCACTATTCGATTACAGCAGCACTAGAGTTGGCGGTGGATGGTGTTCACTAACTACCTTCCGTCTAATCTATCGCTTTTAATCTAGGGAAAGATAGTGTAGTGTATTTGTTTGTTGCTGAATTTTACCCAAAGCCACTCGAGGGTTATCTACACCAGGGGTCTCCAAACCTTTTTGGACAAGGGCCGGGAGGTAGATCTTTTTAGGCTTCACGGGCCGGAGGTGTCGTGGTAAAATCAAGTAGGGATGCATACATGACCAGAATACAACATAAATCAAGTAGGGATGCATACATGACCAGAATACAACATAAATCAAGTAGGGATGCATACATGACCAGAATACAACATAAATCAAGTAGGGATGCATACATGACCAGAATACAACATAAATCAAGTAGGGATGCATACATGACCAGAATACAACATAAATCAAGTGGGGTTGCATACATGACCAGAATACAACATCACTAATTTATTTCTCATAGGAGCACATATTGAAAATATTTAAGATGCGCAATCGTCTTTTTTATTTAGCATTAGTGAGAAGCACGAAACTGGTGCTTTCCTTTCAAAATTACACGGGCCCTATCACAACTAGATTGGCTTTTGCTCAATCACGTTTTATTTTTGTTTTTATAATATATAAAAAAAATATTAATACTTTGATAAACTGTTGGCGGGCCGGACAAACCGAAGTCGCGGGCCATAGTTTGGAGACCCCTGATCTACACTAGCTTTCCCTAATTTAGAAGCGACAGATTAGAAGGAAAGCAGCTTGTCAATAAATTGTTTAAATTTAAAAAAAAACGTATATATTGTATGGTGTCACTAGTTTGTCACTAATTACTCAAAAACAATACCCTCCATATATAAGTGATGTCTGACAATTTCAGGTTCGTTGATTTAAAAAACCAACTTGTACGCCAAATGAAAGAGTAAAATGAACGAAAGGGTGAGTAATAAGAAAAACAGAAGTTTGTTTTAAAATTACACTAGAAAGGTATTCACATTGAGACGTTGCATTTTTTTAAAGAATCTAAGTACATTTTAATTTCGGCTTTAGAACTAAAACGATGACGACGAAACTGAAGGAATTAGAGTGATCAGAAATTTTGAAAGTAATAGACAAATTAGGACGATAAATGTCACAGTAGTCATTGTCATGAGTGTAATATTTTTAAGGTTATTCCTGCTAAATGACTCGTTACTCGAGGTAGTAAATAGAGTAAAACAGTTCTGAAAATAAATTAGCTTTATCAAAGTCATTAAAAGCAGCTTTGTTGTTACATTTAATATGATGATAGGACTCGTTGGAGAGCCAAAAGTTAAACAGTTTTTTTTCTCGAAATTACATTATTCTTGTTTGTAAAGATGAGCAAATAAATAGAACAGTAATGACCAAAAACAACTCGTTATGATTAGGAGGTCTTTTAGTGCAAGTGGCTAAGTAGATTTGACGATTGCGGAGACTAGCTGGAGGAATGGAATAACCAGTATGAATTATATTTTATGTGTTATCGTAGCGGTGGTTAGACCAGTTTCTGAGCTTTGCACAAACTGATCATGAGGTGTATATTAGAATGATTTACATAGAAGAAACAAAACTGTCTTTACGTTTTCGGGTTTGCGTTACAGGTTGCAGAGGTGATTGCCTGAGGAGCATTAGTAGTGATCAGGGCTACGTTGATTACACAGTCCTGCGAATTTAAACTTTTGTTTTAATAACGGATTTTCCATAATTCAGCTACGCAGATTTCGAAAATAATATTACTTTTTTCTATCACGTAAGAATTCTTTTTTATAAATTGGGAAGAAAAAAACTCTTACTTAGATCAAATTATTATTTCGTTTATCAAAATGTACTTTATGTTTCTTAACAAAAATACAAACAAACTGAAGAAAAGGGAAGAACATTGATGTCAAACGAATATGCAACCTCATTCAGTCTGATTTATATTTTTTGTGTGTGAAATCTACGTCTTTTAGTCTCAAAACTACGTGTTGTGGTCTTTCTTTTATGTATTGCGTTATGACGTTTTGTGAAAAATCTGTACGTGATGGAGAAAAACGGATATCATTTTCGGATTCAGAGTACAGGAATTATTGTAGAACATGTAAACATTTCAAGACAATAAAACCATCGCAGGCCCTTGTGATTAAAACTGTGGATCAATGGCGTACTAACAAGGTAGGAACTGCATATTTCTGACGTTATGATGTCCAAGACATGCTCAATTAGCATGAATTTGCTCCGTCAACTCGTACTGCGTCTTGAACAAAGCTAAAGTTTTCTATCAACTCAATATTTATTGAATAGAAATAACTCATAACAGGCGAATTGCAACCTGCCAAATAATCTATAATTTCTATTTACGAACTGTTGCGTGTTTTCCACCAGTTTTAATGATTTGTAAAAGCATACTTATGATGAGTCCATGAGGTTCAGAAATTTTATTAATTTTACCTTTATATATATATATATATAGTGAGTTTCCTTCAATACATTTTATCATTCCTTTGACTTGGATTCAATGCTGTGTCCTGACGCTAGCGACTAAGTCCAAATCTTAACTCTTTCACGTGGTTTCTTTGCGGGTTCTTTCTTTGAGCGGTTAACATTAGATAGGCCAGTAGCTCCGCGGCGGAGTACTCCCCTTCTTTCCTTTTTACTAAGGAATAAAAAGATCATATCAATCTATTGAATATTTGTTCTTAAAGTTAGGTGAAGTAAGACGTCCATAGTTAGATATCTATAAAAATAATGAAGATCACATAAATTCTTTGCAATAACAGACCTACTCGGCTCGAATTCTTGTTTAACTATTATTTAAAATTGAAATTTGCAAGTCAGAACAACCTATGAAACAGATATCGTGAAGTTTTTATAATGTTCAAAGGATTTGAAACTACTTTATACACATTTATGTAAGTGTAATTATGTAACGGTGACGTAATGTCTGTTAATAGTATTTTTAGAATTAACTCTGAAGGCTTTCATACAAAAATAAATCACTCCACAATGCTTGATTTATTTAAATATTTTATATCATGCGAATTTGTGGAATTGGAAGTTGAAAAAGCCTAAATTGGGAATGTTTGAAAGTTAATAATAACAAAAAAATATTTTATAATGTAAGCCTAAATTAGGGAATTGTTGAAAACAGAAATAAAAATAAATTTATGTAATTTATAGTTAAATATTTTAAAATGCACGATATAATTCGCCTTGTGTTAGCGAAATATATTGCAATGTTGGAAACAACCGTTAATATGAGAAAATATATAATATACGATTTATAAAACAAAAAACCGACGCTTTCATCGTAGGTGGCCTAAAAAATTGTCTTGCTTTGACATGAAAAGCAAAACAAAAAACTTATAATAAATAAAGATATTATAAATAACCACATTTTGAATATTTTTGGATAAATATAAAAAAATAAAAAAATTGATTATCTTTGCATATACACGAGTTGTCCACCAAATGTTTTATAATACTTAACCATAACTATAACTTGTGAGATAAAATTTTCCTTGCAAAGGAAATGATTTACTGAATATACTTTACCGTGAAATCATCAAAATACAATGTAGCCTGCGTTGGCTCAACATTAAGTGTGGAAGCTTATCAATAACACTAAAAATTGGGTTTCGATACTCGCGGCGGGCACAGCACAGATAGCACAGTAATAGAAATCAACTTATCAACTTTCCGTTCGTAACATGAAATAATTTCGCAATCTTCTCTGTAGAACCAACACAGTAGGGGCGTGTCTACTTTGATGTAGAGTTGCATCGTAATTTCAGGATAAATAACGTTAAATCATGCACACGCAGCCAAACACCACGAAACCAAGCCTTGGATCGGTTTTATGAGAGCCACGAGGGAATATCAACATGGCTAACATGCGCTATTAAGTTTTAGCCTAACTTAGCTAGCGCTCGCTGCACAGTTTCCTAATTTTCTAGTGTGGAATGTTCTTTGTTCTACTTACCTGAAAGAAAACTGTCACCTTGGTTATATTTATAGTTTCTGTCTTCTTTTTGGACTCCGCCTGCAGCCCACACATCGCCTGCTAGCCATAGATCGTCAATAGCAGGTTTCAATAAGGTCGCTAGAATGGAAACAGTGTCTTGTTAATTTACAGAATATCTTAATGCATACTTACTATGAGTTCTGTCCACACTTCAAAGAACGGCTGTATAACTCTCGTCAGGAGGAATCTTTTTCTTTAATTGTAAATAATGTATCTGGAAAACTGGTGAACGGATGAGTAATATTTTCACATCTTTCTTTCAAGACAAGAAACTCAATTTTAAATGTTGAATTTCATGGGTCTGTAACGTGTAATTTGGGAAATTTCAAACATTCTTTGTTTACAAGGATTCATTACACCAATTACAATGCTTATCTAACAAAATGTTACAAAATACGACAATAAACAACCAAACAAAAACCACACCGTAGAAGATTGGTACTTATCCACGTAGCTAAGAAGTATCAATCATATCTTCATCCTGTCCATTTAACCCTCATCTACTAAGGTGATGCTTTATAACGTAATTACTAGGTCTGTAAAGCCTCATTTTGAATCAGCACTTACGTAAATATTAAACTATACTTTTCCAACAAATATTTTAATGTATATGATGACTCATTTTTACTTTATTGTACTTGTTTAAACAGTCAGTGCATATTTTAATTGAATGTTTTACACAGATGGAATTTACACGTTCCACCGATGATGTTAATCATCATGCTCTTGTTAAGAGGTTCACTCGTTCCATCTCCGTCGTTCTAGTGTAGAATGACCTTCATGACTTTAGCACGAAGGTCACTCGTTGCATCTCCGTCATTTGGGTATAGGATGATCTACATGACTCTGGTACGAGAGGATGATCTACATGACTCTGGTACGAGGGTCATTCGCAGCATTTCCTTCGTTTTGGTGTAAGATAATCTTCATGACCTTAAACATTTCATTAAACTTTCTTATTAGACAAGAGAACAAAAATTTATTAATTTTAAAAGAGGAATAGGGATCGTCAAAAAACGTTCAGACACAAGTTGAATCAAAATGCAATGAATATATTTCCAAGCCTACGACTAGGGATTATGAAAAAGTAAACAAAACAGGCTGAAAATAGTGCCTACATTATTTTCTCAAGCTACAAATTTCTATTTTGACTCCTTGTTTACAGTACTTGTCAATTTTAGCTGGAGTCAAAATATGAATTTTTAGCTTCAGAAAATAATGTAGACATTATTTCCAGCCTAGTTTGTGTACTGTTTTTAGAGTCTCTAGCTGTAGGCTTGAAAATATAATATTTGCATTTTTATTCAACTTGTTTCTACACTTTTTTGACGATCCCTATTCCTCCTTTTAAATGAACAATTTAATTATCTTGTTTCTTAAGTTTTTTAAGTCCATTTATAGAGAATAAAGCTTAAGCTACATACGTGCATGTGCATTCAATGTAATGTTACATATTTTCCAACAGTTTACTGCTGCGTTGGCTTTTTTTTTTCCACCCAACTATTATTCACTGACCTAGGTGTTTTTATGCCTGACAAGCGTTTAACAAGCGTCAAGTACAAAGGAAGTCGCTTACAACAACATTGCATATATTGTGTATTTATAGCCATGTAAATCAACTTTCAATGAAAAATAATCGACTTTTTAAATAGGTCATGGACATTCACAGCGTTTAATATAGCATATCTGTTTAGGTTTTGGTGCAAGATACCCAGCCGAATTTGGTGTAGGCTTGTGAAATAAAAATATGAATAATAATTATAAAATAAAATAATACTAAAGTACGCATTTACAATTTCAGTGAACTACGAAAATTAGTACAATAAATCACCACTCACATGAGAAGAGAAACCTACTATGATAGTCGTCTACTGTTAGAAAACTCACTGAAATAGTCACAAAAAACCACGTATAGACAAAGTACAACAGTGAATTCGAGAAACAAAGAAGAACAGCGAACTCGAGAAATGATGAATCCTCAATGTGCAGTTTCCGATTAATGGGCTATAAGTTGCACAAATTATTTTCCAGTTAATGTACATTATTAAAACACCGGATTTTTTTCAATGGCGGAAAGTGAAGGACTTAGAGAAATTCTTCAGGGCGAAATAAAGAAGACACTTGAATTAATTTTAAACTACCCTATGACATACTCAATACTACATTCATTACTATTGTTTAGGTTTCAGTAAAATATTCGTGGCCATTTTTTCTGTAGCGGCTTGTAAAATATTATCAATAATAACAATAAGGTTGGAGACACTGTTATAAATAAAACGAAACATTTCCGTTTCCGACTAGTATAATAGCGCTTGAATGGCTTTGAAACGATTATGTTGGTAATGAAGAAGAACATTTTAGAGGGCAGAAATCTTGAATTTCAAGAATCAACTTAAAAATAGTCCTACAACCTTCACATGAGTTTGTTTAGTAACTGTGCATAGATTTTGGCGTCGTAGTATACCTAGCCGGTTTTTGCTGTAGGCTTCGGTGTTTGAATGGCTTCGAAGAGAAACTTGGCCAGTAGCGATGAAAAACTGATAAAATCTCTCCTCCTATTTCAAAAATTAACATGCACAGGAGTTTTTTTAGTAGATTTGATCAGGTTTGAATAAAATATTCATAGCCGTTCTGTAGGCTTGTGAAACAAGAATAATATGGATAATAATAATATTGTTGTGTCACGCCACGTTTCTAGAAATATCCTGTTCCTTTGTGAATGCCCTAGTATTTACTAGATATAGGGTAGTCTGGTATATATAAAATGATGACAACGTGACGGGACAAGGGGTGTAGTATTGAGTAATTGAACTGCAGTCAGAGAAAATATTGTTCGCCATGTGAGATATAGCGTTTGTTATAGCGCAACTGTTGAAATTAAGTGTATCGTAAAGTTGTATTCAGAAAGAATAAACCAGTTTTATTTAAGAAAGGACTTGCGTCGCTAAAGTTTCGTCGGAACGAATTTACGGAAAATTAACTAACGACTGGAGGCGTAACAATATGAAGAACAAATGGATGAATTTTGTATAACAATCGTAAAATCAACTTTTTTGCTATTATCAATATTTTTGTAGCCTTAGCCATTGCGACAGAAGGTCTTGAGTGTTGTTTCAAGAACAAGTCTGCTTTTTAAAATGGTTTTTACCCATATGTTCGATTATAATTTTTGTGAAGTTTTTAGGGCGACCCCTATTATGAACTACTATCGTGTTTCATGATTAAGAAGCAAACTGTGCATACCTAAGTACTAAAATGGGGTGACACAGACTCTAATATTTTGTTTAGAAAACTTATAATCTATTTGAATAACTGTGTCATTTCATTCAAAAGTTACTATTAACATCTGAGAATAAAAAAGTGTATTATTGCAAGAAACAAAGATTAATTTTTAACGAAATAAAATTACAAGTAGATCTCAACTTAGTAATTAAGGGTTGATGTTACTGTTTCCTGGGGCAAAACTTAAAAATTTAGTAAATCAGTCGCAAATGTATTATGATTTGTTCTGTAGTGCTTTCAGAAAAACATTGTTAATTCTGAGCACGTGCAGAACTTTGATGCACCAAGTTAAATTTGTATTGTAGTCTACATTTTCCTTTCTACAAATCTCATAATATATCTCAAGTAGTAGTATGAATCAGCGTTAATAATTTTTAATCCAGTTACATTTTGAATAATGGTGTACACACTGTTCAAAAACTCAGGGTAATTAAAAAAATTCACCATTTTCTATCTTTTATTTTTGAAAATCTTAAAATAAAGTTTCCAGGTGTAACAGCGGTAAGTTTACAGACTTACGATGATAAACTTCTGGTTCGATTCTCTACGGTGGACACAGCAGATAGCTCAATGTGTCTTTGCCCTAAAAGAAACTTAAAACGATACATTGTTTTAATTTGTCAAG